TCCATGAAAAATCTCGACCAAGTCCAAGATTTAAGTTTAAAGGTTTTTTTTCCGAATGTCTCTATTTCTGCACCATTTGCCGCATATAACTTACACGTATTGTCTTTGGTTTCATTTAACGAAGTACGTGGAATCACTGAGACGTCTGCACCAGTGTCTATTAGAAAACATGCTCCTGTTTTCCTATCATTTACCATGAGGTGCAGGTTTTTCGTCGCGTCGTCAACCGCCTCTATTTGAGACACTTGCACTAGTTTTTCGAATGCTTTCTTTTATCCGGGCCTGTCCACTTGCACGGGGATCTGCACTTCCACGATCGTTCTGCGAATTTCCAGTGATAGTAACATAGGCCGTCCTTGTTTCGGTGAGTGCTTGACGATCGGCTTCGACTTCGGGATCTTCTGCGAAAACTTCGGTATTTTCTTCTGCCGCGCATCAATTTTTCTATCTTCTCTGTTAGTTGCGCGATTTCCCGCCTCAATTCTGCTACCTCGCGATTTGTTATTGTTTGAGCGACACTTCGTATTGGCGCTTCTTCCGAAATTGCGGCCGTTTTCGGCTGACGCTCTCTCTCTAGGATCTTATCACCCATTAATAATCGCCTTAGCCGTTGTTCGTCGGATTTAGTTAGTCTGTGTATTAATGCTTCTTTTAAATGTGTGTACGTACATTGCTCGGGGGGAGATGTTAAGATGTCGTATACCTCTTTTACCAGCGTGGTATCCAAATTCCTTACCACCGCTGAAACCTTTACATCATCCGATTTAATGTTGTACGCCGCGAATTCCTTTTCCAAAATTACGAACCATAAATTTGGTTCCTCTTTCCAAAAAGCTGGAAGCGTTACATTTCTAAACTCACTGGCGTTGATTTCCTTTGTTACGAACCATAAATTTGGTTCCTCTTTCCAAAAAGCTGGAAGCGTTACATTTCTAAACTCACAGGCGTTGATTTTCTTTGTGTAAATATCGGCACGGTTCACGTCGGCTTCGCTAGTTGGTTGCGCCATTTTTTATTCTCTTTATTATTTTTTTTTATTTTAGTTTTTTGTATTATTTTTTTATTTTTTACGCGGACGTTCCCGGGTTTCGGCACCAATTTACTGTAGAGGGTTTCTCTATAGTAAAGATAATATTAGACTGAATTTNATTTTTTCTATTTTAGTTTTTGTATTATATTTTTATTTTTTTTTACGCGGACGTTCCCGGGTTTCGGCACCAATTTACTGTAGAGGGTTTCTCTATAGTAAAGATAATATTAGACTGAATTTTATTTTATGATTTTTATTTAAAGGATGCGACTTGCTTTTCTTTCTTGTACACTTCTCAACGGCTACGTACAGACTGTTCTAGTCTAGTGACCACTACTTGTTAGCGTGGTTCCCTAGCCTTCTAGTAACCTCAGAGGGCGCGACCTTCGGTCGTACCGCTACATGCGAGACGCCACAACTGTTTGTTTCTTTTTAACTGTTGGCGCCACTTGTTGTTATTGTTGACATTTTTGTAAGTCATTAACCCGGGAAATTTAAATTAACTCACACGTGTTCATGGTTATATATAAAAAAATTTTTTGTCTATTTATTTCTTGCGATAAAATACAATTGATATCATAAAAATGTTAACAAAAACAAAATTAAAAATTGTTTAAATTATTCAATTATTGACTATTTTATTAGAAATCTATTATAATATTTTTATATAAATAAACTGTCAATAATTGAAAATCTTTAAATTGATTTTAGATCATTTTAAAATAATAATATTAAAATATTGTCATTGATTAATTCTAAAAATAATTAATTTTTTTTATCAAATCTTTTCTTTGATCGAAATTACTTCAATTATTTATTCGCTTAAGAGACACATTTTATAATTTTGTTTCATGTTTAACCCTAGCTTTGAAAAGTTGATTTGGTCTTAGAATACCATATAAATTATTATGATGAGAATTATTAGATATCGCAATCTCATTAGAAGCATCACAATTATTGCTAGATAAGTCTGTTCCGTCATTATCTTTTTGTGCATATTTTCGTTGCTGTGTTCTATCAGAACTACAATTGTGACCTTCCTTTATAACAATTTGTAATTCAGAGTCTGTTTCCTCCTCATTATCTGCACTATCTACATCTCCTAAAAATAAGATAATATACATACAATATTAAATAGTTTTTAGTTAAACAAATACATATATATATGCAGATGATGTATATAAGATTACTAACCATCAGAACTGTAAGTAGAAGGTAAATAAAATCTAGATGGTTGTACTTTACTAGGACCACCACATCGTTCTTTATCTCTAAGCATATTAGTTGAATGATAATATTTAAATTCCCGAGGAAGTGTATAGCTTCTAGGTAATGATACTTGACTACCTTCCATGTCACTAATTTCACCTTCTTCGCTTTCATCTTTGGAACTCTCTCCTTTCCCATTCCGGCTTTTATATATTTTTAAATATAAATATAAAATTAAATTGACTGCATATCTTTAATATATTAATTATAATAACAACGATGAATAATACATAAATTACCTGTGATTAAGATGACTGGGAGGTGTCCAATGAGCACAATGTATGGGAAGACATCTAGGCGCTAATAAAATTTCTGGAACATTAGCTTTATCCCTTTGCGATACTTTCCATAAACTTGAGGAATGGGAATTAGAATGATATGGCGATACTGGTGGTGGTGGTAATAAACAATGCATTTTAACTGGTGGCCATGATGTTAATGCGACACCTTCATCTCCATCGGATACCAGCGAAGGTGATGTAAATAATATAGTGTTTGGAGAAGTATGCAACTTCTTACTTGGCGGTGGCTGTTGATTTAATACTGATGGAGAAGATGAAAATGTAGATGGAGATGCTGACAATGGTGGAAATAATTTTCCTTCTTTAATCTCTTCTTGTATAGCTTTAAGTTCACGAAGTTGTTGCTGTTTCTTTTGCCTTAATTTTTCTCGTATCAAATTTACACTTAACGAACTACCCGTCTCTGTTTCGATTGTATTTTTCTGTATATTTGAATTTTCGCTCTGTTTTGAAATAACGTTTTAATTATTATTTATCAATTATAATAAAATAAATTATTTAATGTTATTATTTTACCTGCAAGACGTTGGAAAAAGACGCAGCTTTTTTCCAAAATGGTATTATTTGTTGATGTCCATTGTTTCCATTAAGCCACTGTTTATTATCTTCACCTGCTGTAGTAGGACTTACAGTAGATGTAGATTGATCCTGTGGAGGTGGTGGAGGTACAAATGTAGTAGGCTTTTTCTTTTTACGATTTGGATTTACTACTGCTGCGTTAGAAAAGCGACAATTAAATACACCAGGTATACCACTGTTATTCAACTTTACTCTTCTCGTTGCTACATTTTTATTCATTTTTTTTTCCTTTACATGTTCTGTATTCCTTTCTTCTTGATTTTCCTATACATACAAGAGTAAAGAAAAAATAAAAATATATAAATTTAATTATATACTAATATAGTTACTCTATTAGTAAAAATACATGCATTTTGAATAAATTACAAACCTGGTTAGACATAATTGCAAGATTTGAAGTAGTCATTCTACCACCAACTTCATATGTTAATTTTCTTATATGAAAAAATCTGTAAACATAGATCAAGTGTTTTACACGATTAGAAATAAAATCTTGATATTATATTTTTAATCACAGTGATCATAGTGTTTGATACATGCGCATGAACTGCTTCAAGCAAAAACACAAAAATTTAGATTTATATGCATACAAAATATATATATATATATATTTCTATAAAAAATGTGAAGATTATTTGGACGATCAACATACACATAAAACAAAAATGATTATCTATATGTACATGCATTATGAATAAAATAGTATGGATGGAGTTGATAAAAAAAATTAGAAGCCATTTGGATAAGCAAGATCACAATTTTTTGATCTGTGATATGCAGGTAGATTCAGACGAGTGCAACAATTAATTATATGATAAGGATTTTCTATAATTTACATAGAGCACAAGTATTATAAATTAATTTCATCATTTAAAAAAAAAAAAAAAAAGAATTACAATTAATTTTTTTTTTGACATAATTAATTGAAATAAATAAATAAAAAAAAGGAACAAAAATAAAACAGCTAGAAAGCTAACGACAAATATAATAAAAAAGATATAAAATTATTCAAATTCGTCAATTATAAAACGTACATATAAATTACACAAGACTAGTTTTTTTTTTTTATCACAATTTATAAAGTAATAAATACTTTGCTCAAATATTCAGTGTCCTTTGCACATTCAACTTGTACCCATCCAAACCAAGAAAGAGTTATATCTAGAAAAAAGTAAAGAGAGTCTTAAACTCTATAGAAATCATGGAACAAAAAAATAGACCATGTATTGTTTCATGATAAAGTTAGTTTTTATCTTAGTTCTATAATTTTATAAAAGTAAATGAAGAAAAGGTATAAAGGATAATAATAAATGCTTACCTATAATACATTGCCATGAAGAACATACCACTAAAAAATAATGCTACAAGCGTAAGTATTAAATTTACTGGATTTGGTTGATGGAGATGAAGATCACTTCTATTTATGCCTACAGCCCATACTCCAGTAAGTAAACTGTTTTCCAATAACATTACTGTATAAAATATTACCTATGCAAACATTTAGTTTTTAAAAGACATATTTCTTGTTTTTTATATATAAAAAAGAAATAAAAATATGTTGAATACTTTAACTCACCATTTTTTGGCGATGATTGGTCTCATGTAGATTAACATATGCAAATATATAAATAAATGCCAACATAGAGGCTAGAATACTTTTTCTCGTCATTGGGAGACGCTCACCTACATGGAAGAGTCCATCAGGTGTGAGCAATAACCACATTAACATAGTAAGCCAATGAAGTGCCATTACAATTAATAGCCATTGTCCACCATAAAGCGATGCATATACAACTAATGCTCCAACTCTAGCACTTACTGTTCCAAGGCGCCAAAATAATTGAGCTAATACACCCAACCATGTAAGTACCAAACGTTCTATATTGCGCAGACGTGCTGCACTTTTACTAAAACTAGCTACCGCCCAACAAACATTCCATAAAGATAGTCCAGCTGACACTGCTGTTAATTTAGTTAACTGTTCACTGTCATTCACTTCACCACTTTTTAGTTTTTCATTTTCTATACCTAAGTTGTCATTAATTCCAATAGATAATAAATATAGTTGTAATAGTAACATGGGTGCAGCTTCGCAGAATGCATGTACAAGACGCAATACACACAACTCTCGCACCTAAATAAATTTAAATGTGATGTAAAAATATGAAACAACTGTATATCACTGAATATCATAATAATTTATTAATTATAATTTACCTCGTGTTTAACGTAAGCTAAATCAACTGGAATAAACAATTTACAATATCTCCAAAGTACTCCGGCTTGTGTTGTATGAAGAAATAATACACAACCGAAAGTCCAATTACTAGTTTTTTTGCAGGGACTTACGTTACTATCTCTGGTTGTATCGTTATCTATTAATTTACCTCTTACACCCCATAAATACCAACGTATGCTAACTATCTGTAAATAAATAACATAATCAGACATATAACATGATAATGTAAAAGAATATTTTGTTTTTATATAATATTATTTAAATTAATTTATATACCTGGCACGCAAGCAAAGAAGTTGTTATAAAAGTAATACTTAAAGGGAAAACGGTAGGTGGTCCTACCGAATGATGAGCGAGTGTATAAACCATTGCAAAATCAAAAACGATGTCACAAAAATATGATACAAGGGAAATTATATTAAACAAAACATCACATAGTGATAAAAATTCGTTTTGCTGTTGCCTATGCTGGGCCATAATGGTTTTGTGACACCCATTTGGATAATTCCTTTAGCATTTCCCCTTTTCATTAACTTTCTTCGTTTATCTAAAACATAAAAATATATGTTTAAAATTCAACTTTCAATAACTCATGTCAATAATTATTATAATAAGTATAATTGTATACCTAATTGAAATTAGAACACACATTGTTTTATAGGTTAGATAAAAGTCTTTTTTTACAGTTAGTTTAACTCAAACGTTTCTACAAATTCAATCTTACAGATAATAATCATTAATTAAATTAAAGATATTTATKTATTTTAATAAATAATACATTTACAAGAATTCACAGTACACATGACTTTAAAAAAAAAAAAAAAATTATAATGCAACCTATTAATCCAGAAATGAAACAATAAATAAACTAAAAATATTTTCTTTTAAAATACACCATAAGTAAATTGCAATTACTGGACATGGGACACGTCAAAAATTAAATGCTCCGAATTGATGTACTGTCAAAATTGATAACACGTTGCTATAGGAACGTTATTAACAATATAAACGAAATGGTATCTAACAAATTCATTTCATAACCTATCAAGAATACAAGTTACATTAAATTAATAAAAGAAAAAATGAAAGAACTTGTTTAAAGAAACGATATAAATGTTAATAAGCGTTACTAACTCACCGCATTCTTTACGTATTATTGATGAATAATGAAAGAAAAAAAAAAGAAGGTTTAAAGCTACGTGTGACTGCGTTGGCGGACCTGACTTGACTAGATGACGTCATAAATTCCTCCAGAAACATTCAAGTTGCAATCTTCGACGATGACGATGTCACCAACGATTGAATGCATTATTATTTCATTTAGTGGTGAACATATATCAGCTGATTAATGAAGTAACATGTTTGAAAATTGACATATAGATTTTAATGAATAATAATTATTGTTAAATATTATTTCTGTTTAATCAAAATGTCGAATGAAATGGATATTATCGATAACGAAGTACAATTACCTCAAGATCTTGGTGATGATGTTGTACAAGAAGTACTTAAAACTGGTATGGATCTACGCCAATATTCTGAACAAATTGAAGAAGAATTAAAAGAGGTCGAAAATAAATCTATACAAGATTATATCAAGGAGAGTCAGAATATAGCGAATTTACATGATCAAATTACTGCATGTGATAACATTCTGGAGGTTACATTTAATGCTATTTTATTATGTAAATATTTGTTTTGTTGTATCCTTATTTAATGTAAATCTTATTTATTTCTATGTTTTCTTTTATAGGAAATGGAGTCAATGCTTATGTGCTTTCAAAAAGATCTTGGAAGTATCAGTTCAGAAATAATTTCATTACAAAGAAAGTCTGTCGCTATGAGCCAACAATTATCAAATCGACAAGCAATACGAGGACCTTTAAGTCAATTCATCGAAGATATGACCGTCTCTGAAGCTCTTATAAGGTAAATAAATATTATACTTTAATACCTTATTATTAAAAATATACACAATTATAATTAAAAGTTTTTAATAATCTTGTTTTATTTTAGTGGAATTATGGACTGTTCTGTGATGGACAAAGAATTTTTAGCACAGTTACAAATATTGAACTATAAAATTAATTTTGTGAGGGAACAAAGCACAAAGGCAAAATCTTGTATAGATGTACAAGATATATTGGAAAAATTAAAAGTCAAAGCTATGACAAAAATCAGACATTACTTGTTAGAACAAATTTATAAGTTTAGAAAACCAATGGCAAATTATCAAATATTACAAAATAGTATGCTGAAGTATAAGTTTTTTTATGAATTTATTTTAGTTAATAAAGATGATGTGGCCGAAGAAATTTGTGAAGAATATGTAGATACTATGAGTAAAATATATTGTTCATATTTTAAAGCGTATTCGTCTAAATTAATGAAATTACAGGTAAGAAAATTTTGATTTTAAAAATAAAATTAAATAACACTTATTGTGTTTCTTTTTTTTTTCAGTTCGAAGAAAAACCAACTAAAGATGATTTAATGGGAATCGAAGATACAGCAAGGCATAGTTTATTTCACAAATCTACATTGAAACATAGAGGAACTGTTTTTTCTATAAACACTAGAGATGCAGTTCTTACTACAGAATTAGAAGCTTCTATTATTGTTCCACTTACAGCTTCTAATATTAGGGTTGGTTTTAGATTTATTTTATATACAATTTTTAATATAAATAAATATAATTTATTTTTAATTTTCAGTATCACTACGAAGCTTTATTCAGAAGTGAACAGTATGCAGTTGTCGATAATGCTTGTAGAGAATATTTATTTTTAACTGAATTTTTTAAAGTTAATGGTAATGAAGCTATGAGAATTTTTAATAAGGTAAATTAATTTTTTATAACGACAAATTCTTGTATATGATTAGGCATACAATTGACAATGATTTGTAACTACTTGTTGCTTTATATTTACAGGTCATGGAGAAGACATTAAATCTTGTGTCGAAGAATCTGCAATCATTTGTAGATGATTGTTATGATACGATAGCATTATTTTTATGTTTAAATTTGGTAATGCGTTATCAATTAACGTGTCACAAAAGAGCAGTTCCAGCGTTAGATAAATATTGGGATCATTTGACAAAAATTATATGGCCAAGGTAATTAATTGCATTCCATTATAATTATTTTTAACAATAATACGAAATTTTATATATTTTCAGATTTGAGTACATTTTTCAATTGAATATTCAAAGTATAAGAGATTGTGATCCATCAAAATTTAATAAAGAGACTGGCCCACATTATGTAAGTTAATGTTAAATAGAGAAATGACTGTTTAATCAAAAAAGTAGATAAATTAAGATAATATTATTTCAGATAACAAGAAGGTATGCTGAATTTAGTGCAGCAATGGTCAGCATAGTCGAGGGATTTCCTTGTGAAGGTGTAACACAATTATTGGCAGAACTTAGAGAAGCTGTTCAATGTTTCTTATTAAGAATGGCATCTATTTTTCCAAGCAGAATTAATCAATTAATCTTTCTTATCAATAACTATGATTTAGTGTTGAGTGTTCTTATAGTAAGAAAAACAAACATTTATTTTTGATATTTTAATATTATTTGGATAATAATTTAAATACATATTTTCTTTATTTTTTTTTTTAGGAAAGGACACGAGATAATTCTAAAGAAGCAGAAAGCTTTCGAGAACAATTAAATGCACGTTCTTCAGAATATGTCGAAGCAGTATTAAATCAATATTTCGATGGTATCATTCAATTAATTAAGGAATCAGAAAATTTTATAGAAAAAAATCAAGATGAAGATTTAAAAAGACAAGAAGGTAAAGCATTAGCTCTTGTACAATATTTTACAGATACCTGGCAACGTTCTTTAAAAAATATCAACGACGAGATATTAAAATCATTTCCAAATCTAGTCATCGGAAATGCATTAGTTCAACGTGCAATGACTCAATTAGTGCAATATTATAATAGATTTCATAAAATATTACCACCAAATGCTCGAACGAAACTTACCAACATACATCACATAATGGTTGAAGTTAAGAAATATAAAACAAATTATTAGATCTGCAATAAATTTATGTATTGATAAGTGTCAATCATAAATGATTCGTGTGTTGTATTTCACTGTCAATAAGAAATGTATAAATTTAATGAAAAAAGGTTCTGTACATTTATTTATAAAATAATAATCTTATATCAATACATTTTTATGATATATGCACAAACATGCGTTATATCTATCGATTATATATTTATATAGAATAATATGTATATATAATTATAATAAGTGCCTAAAATATTGAATAATTTATGATCATGATCAATATTTATTTTTAATATAAATTAAATTTTTATTCCAAAATGATCGATACAATTATCGTATATTTTCGTTAGATAAATACCTGTTTTTATTACCTGCTTAAATATTTTACTTTAATACTTTTACTTTTTCAAATAAAAGGCACCGTGTTAAAAGGTGAATTGTTTTTAATTCACCCCTGATAATATACTACATTTTATACGTACGCGTAAAGACAATGATCCTGATAATAGGCTACATTTGTTACACGCGAGATATCAAATGTTGATAAATGGCAAGAAATTGTTTTTCATTCTGATTGAAATTTCTTTTAAAGAGAATTGATGAACTAGTCTATACATACCATGATTTACTTCAAATCCTTATTTTCTTTTCTTTTTTTTTTTTATATACAAAACATATTAATATTATCGATATTTTCAAACGTTTCATTTGAAATGAAAGAATATATTTACAAGACTCCATCGATGGCGTGCAAAACTCCATTTGTAGCCGGTACATTGTGCGTCACTACATTTATTTCGTTTACTCGTACTCGACCTATTATTTAAATATTATTATAAAACAGTTTACAGAATATATTTATGTATATTATAATATTATTATAATTTATATAACAGTTACCTCCATTTTTGTGAATATGAACTGGTGATTGAACACGCAATGTATCTTTTTGAAGATAATACCTCATACCAGCTGTATATAAAGTAGTAGGTATGATATGTCTTGAAATGATAGCTTTTGCAGCAACTGGACCATCTTCTTCTGTCCAAACAGGCGTTCCATTTTTCGAAGCGGCAGAAGTAAAAGCAGAATCCGTAGGTGCGAAAACCGTAAATGTTTTTGGACCTAAAAAGATTTTTTATATTGATCAAACAATGATACTAATAATTAATTAAGATTAAATTGATTAGTTGATTTACCTGAAAGCGTAGTATCTAATCCAGAAGTGTATAACATTTTAAGGAAAGTTGTAAATCTCCTTTCACGATCGGCTTGTAAAGTTTGAACCAAATCACCAACAGGAAGTGGAAACATAACTCTATCAATTGCATGAGCTATACCTTGAGGAATCTCAATATCACGTTTATTCGGTGCCACTTTGGCTCCATTAATAGTAGTTACCTGCTTGCGTTGATGTAAAAGATATAAAATAACAAGGATTTTTATATTCTTATATACATTCATTTTAAATCAATGAATAATTTAATATATCACAATGACTAGTCGTTTTAAAAAAAGCATCGTTTATGATGTAAATATTATTAAATACCTTTACATCATTCCATTCATGATCGTGCATTGCATATTCATTTACTCTCAATTGGGTTCCAGCAAGGCTTACACCAGTCATTTCATCTTGCAAAGAATCGATCCTGAAAGCTCCAGGTATAACGTGATGAAGAAGAAGCTGAATTTAAAAGTAAATATAACGTAGAAAAATGATTCTTTTACTTCGTTATCAATATTACATTAATTAATTCATTCATACCCCGCTCAACAGTCTTGGATTATCACGGAACTTTTGTTCGGCTTTTTCTGGTCCACCAAGTTGAACTAACAATGTTCTGAATGCTTTATCCGTTGGTACGAATATTGTATATGGACCTATACAAATAATTGAAAGGTATGTAAATGTGAAAACAATTATTTATAAATTATAATCCTCTAATTTAATCTCAACCAACCAGTTTCGTTCAAAACAGTATCTAATCCAGATTGTCTTAAATATTTGGCTATTGCAAAGAGTCCTTCTTTTCTTAACAACGTGGTAAGACTCTCGTGAATTTGATTTTTATTAACGTATGATTCGATAGGTGATATCGTAGTCCTTTCAATATCATCCTGATAAATAGGATTTTTGCTATAACTACTAACAGGTGATCGTGTAGTAGTAGTTATTATTGATCTTGATGTTGGTGAAGTTTCAGAATGCTGTCTAGGAGTAAAATGAGAAGAAAAAGTTGATGACGATGAGAAAGTAGTGCTAATAACGGGTGAATATGTCGTAATGATTTCGTTAACTGGTGCCATAGTTGGAACAAAATGACTTTTAGTTCCTATAGGCGTTCTTGTTGTTGTTGCTTGTACATTGTGACTTTTCGATTTCAAATTTATGTCTGTTGCACCAACGGTGTTGTAGACATGACTGCTTAAACTGGATGCAGATGTAACATAATTGTCTCCGGTTGAGGCCGAGTTTGAAGATACCGTGACGTAAGGGTAGTACTCAGATGTTGCTTTACTGTAAATGTTTATATAATTTAACTAAAGAGAAATCTCTTACTAAGACTTAAACGACAAAAAAACGATTTTATCACGTAACATTAATCTGACACTAATTCAATTTAGAATGCATCTGCTGGACAATGTGTTATTTTAAATATATTATTGATTTTAAAATATTTTTTTTACCTAGTAAACCTAGTAGAAGATGGAGTTGTAAACCTTGCTGTAGTAGACCTAGATGTAGTAGGTACAATATTAACAGTTCGTGACGATGGTGATGATATTTTGGTCGATACAAAATCAGCAATTTCTTCATTGGCTTCCTCTTCAGACGTAGTTTTTGTTGGATTCGAAGAACTCGGTGGCAATTTTAATTCACCTTTTTTAATCTTTTCTACGATTGATTCTACATCAGTTCCTTCCTTATCCGTATTACCTTTGACACCTTGAACCTTATAACTACCGTCAGGTTGTTCCTCTAGAACCACAAATGTCACCTTTTTAGCTGGCAAATTTTGAATAGGTGCTTTACCAATTTCTTCCAATTTTCCATCACTCTTTTGTCGAATTATTTTAAAATCAGCACCAGGTGGAAGAACACCTTTTGTTAATTCCTCGAAAATCACCTTAGGTGGTTTGATGGTTGTCGTAGAAGATAAGATTTGTGCTGCTGTTCGAAGAGAAGTAGAACTGTCAGTAGGTACAATCGAGGACAAACCATTGGGTGCGTGTATTACTTGAAGCTTTTTTCCATTTGGTAAAACCAAATCTCTAGTAGTAACGTTTCTAATATCATCATTATCACCTGTTTCGGCTAATGCCGATTTCAATTGTTTAAGCAATAATTCTCTCTCCAAAGATTCCGAAGATTCGTTGAGTTTGCTTTTAGAAGTAGTTTGTTTCGTTGGTGGTTCAGTTTGATAAATTATTTTGATTTCAGGTCTAGGTATGCCCTGTTTTATTGCTTGTCTTCTTTGTTCTTCAATGAAAGAAGATAAATTTTCAGGAATGGTGGATGATTCTTCTCGAATAGTCTCTTGGGGTGTTGGTTTAATGGTAACCAATGGTCTTACTGTTGCTGGTATGCTAGTGGTAGTCGTGGAATATTTTTTTTGATGATTAGCTATTGCTTTTAAGAAAAGTTCAGTTTCCGATGTTGTAATTTTTCTAGCAGATTGAGACGTTAAAAGAACCGGTGCACTGGTTGTACTAATGAATGGAATTGCTGTTGTCGATGGTGACGAGGATGATAATGGTGGAGGTGGTGGTGACGGAGTCGTCGAGGTTAATTGACGGAGTTGTTGCAATTTCAATAATTCTTGTCTCCTTTTCAATTCCTGTTGTTCCAAGAGCAATTGTTGCCTTTGTTTTTGTAATTCTTCCAATTCTCGTTGTTTCTCCAAATACGATTGCAATTGTACCGTGTGTTGTTCACTGAATAATGGTTGAGAAAGATCCTGTTGAAGATTTTGTATATTGTTAGGTAAATTTTGATATTGACTGTTATACTGTTGAGATTGAAATTGTGGTTGTTGTTGTTTGTTAGCTTGTTGATAATATTGCGTCTGAGCAACGTTAAATCCATTCGAGCCCAATTGTTGAGCGATTTTTTGTTGTTGCTGTTGTAACAATTGTTGCACTTGTTGTTGCTGTTGAATGAGTTGTTGAATTTGTTGTTGTTTCGTCCTGTCAATCTTATATTTTGCTAAGGATGCATAAGGACCATTAGATTGTGAATTGTCTTGACCTGGTCGATGAAATCGTTGTTGATGTTGTTGAACATCGCTCAGAATCTGGACTTGCTGAGAAGCCGAGAGTCGAGGACGTGAATCGAGTGGATTCTGTAATGAAATATTGTCTCGTATGATGAAATACGCAAGGACAATAGGATTTTATCGTTTAAAGACATCGTTCAATTGATATCGTTTGATACGATCACAGATCTAAATCGAAAAAATGGTTTTTTTAATGAGAACGTTTTCCTTGATGACAAATCAGACATCATTCATTAACTTCCGCCGATGCTCAGACCTCTCACTTTCACATAACAAGCCAGCCGTGTTGACTGCGTACTCGTAAATCCACTTAAGGTATTCTGGCGCAATAACTCGAAGATAGACTGATCAATAAAAACCATGGAATCCATCAGAACGGGATACGAGTTTTACGAGATCTAGTTACCAAGAATGTTACTGACCAACGATCAAACAAAATATCCACTTTGTTTTTATATTGAATCACTTGAGAATAACATTTAATTATTACTTACGATTAAACTTTCGAACGTGTAATGATTGCGTGTATCGTATTGAATATCAATGAGATTTTCAATCAAATCAATTCAACATATCATTGAGATGAAATGTATCTATTGCATATTCATATTTAATACTCGTAATTATGTTAGATTAAAAAATAAAAATAAAATGAACTTGTTGTACATAATATTACATATTAACAAAATATTTTGATCAACTTGTTTTCTAAGAATAAATAAATAGAAATTTACAGAAACGTATAATTGTAAATGTCGTCGAAGAAAGTCAATGATCGGATCAATCGTTAAATATCAATTCAATGTGCCCTCTTTCACGCGAATTGATAATTCGTTTTCTTCGGGGTTAATGTCCAATAGAA